AGAATGTCAGCACTTATCATTACCCAACATTGCTGATTGGTTTTGCTTGTGGTCTGTCTCCACTGTAAGGATATAGGGAGGGATTTTTCTCTATTTTAGCCATGGCTGATCCCTGGTACCTAGAACAGTGCTTGACATGCATGCTCAGTAAATGTTAGTTTCTTTCCCATTTGATGAATCAAGACAGACAACCTTAGAACAATGGGATGACTTTACCTTAAAAAAAAGTCTGCGTCTAATCCCAGAGGCTGCTGTCTTAGTGTGCAAGTGCTCACCAGGAAAATCAGATCTTTATACAGTTTATCATTGTTTTCTGTCTTGTTTTTTTAAAGATGTATATATTTATTTAATTCCATTTGTTATAATTATTTTTAATTTGACCAGAGACAGACAGAAAGAGGGAAAGGGAAAGCAAGCCGTTAGGGCCAGGACTCAGACCGTGGTCGGCCATGTGAGAATCCAGCACTCTTGACCACCACACCACCTGCTGGCTCCATGTTTTCTATTTTAGTGTTGAGGGGACATTTCCTATTTTCTCAGACCAGGAAAGCATCTCCCATTTTTTTGAGAGATATTTTTGCTATAAAGCATATGCACTCACCAGAAAGGCAAAGAGAAACAGAGAAAGTGAGAAGCCACCCCACAGAGGATGGCCACGCCACAATCCCTTCTCCGTTCTCCTCTCAGGATTTGGGGCATGCACGCACACATACCTGGGGTGAGTTTTAAATTGCCAGGTCCAGGACTCAACCTGCCGTTGACTGTGTGGGAGTCCAGTGCCTTAACCACTATACCACCTGCTGGCCCTGCGTCTCCCCTTCTGGAGGAAACTTCTCCTTCCCCACTTTAACCATGAGAATACCATCAACTAAGTACCCCTTATCCTCACCACCCCCATAGAGTGGATATGAGACCACAAGCCTGAAGCCCCCACCCCTCCATGTCTGGGAGGGGTGAGAGCTGACCGTTCTCAGCTGAATCCCCTCCAGACATGGCCTCCACATCAAAGCTCATCCTAAGACCACACCATTACTAAGGGAAAAAAAGGTTTCCCCAGGGGCACCCCACATCCAGAGACTGGTCTTTGCAGGGGAATACAGCCCAGGAGTGTTTGCACTTGGGGCAGTTCAGAAGAGCCACCTCAGCGCTCCTACAGGGCTGGCAGAGACAATTGGAGTGGACTCCGATTTTACTACAACTGCTGCAGCTGTCCTGGGGTTGGACTTCGTCAACCCAGTCCTCCCCGCTTCACACCCACTCCAGGCCATCCCAGGAGCCTCCCACATGCTAATCTCCACCTCCCATCCTCTGGGGAGCAGATTCTGAAAGGGGTCTTGGTCTGGGGTCATCCACTGACTGTCCCCAGGGTTCCGCACAGGTGGGGGAGGAGCACCGCTGGACCTGGGATGCAGTAACAGCACAGTTATTAAATGTCGCTGGTGGGAGACTGCGATGCTGTGCTGGTCAAGGGGATTTTCTGGCAAAAACAGTGTCCTGGCCTTTGAGACTGAGGCAGAAACAGCGACTATGAAAGTTCATAGCTCTTGCTTTGGAGAAAGACCAAGGAAACCAGAGGCCGAGCACGAAGACCAGAATAAAGGGTTCTGCATACTCTTGGCAGCACATAGCGCTCCTCCTTCTCACAGCTGGAGGCCAGAGTGGCCCAAGGCTTAGTTACCAGGAACAGCGCTCAGGGAGGCTGTGTCCCCAACGTATTCCACTCTGCTAGCCAAGGTTGGAGCCCTGATCAGGAAGCAGTGGGACCCCAAGAAGATGGGATGTCCGGGTCAATGCGCAGTCACCAAATCATGGTTCCCAGCTTTCCTGGACCCCCTAGGCCTGAAGAAGTGCCTCACTCCTCACATAAAGGGCAGCACTCCCTGCTCGCTGGAACGGGCACCAAGGCCGTCAGCAGGGAGACCATACCTGCTGGCCTCAGAACCCGCTCCCATCCTGGCCACTGTGTTAACTACTAGGATTAAGTCACCCCAGCTCCTGGCTGGGTACATACCGGGACAACAAGGAGTACCAGAACTGGACCCCGAAGGAGCTCTAGACCCAGGACACACATAGCAGCAGGAAGCAAGGCTGTGCTCTCACGGCTGGATCACTGCAGGAGGAATAGAAGGTCATCGCGGTTTTAGTAAAATCGAGGCCACTCCAGCTGTGGACTGAATTATGCACCCCCAGATTCCTGTGTCAAAGCCCTAACCTCCAACGTAACTGTGTCTGGAGACAGGGCCTTGAAGGAAGTAACAAAGGTTATGTGATGGGCCAGCAGGTGGCGTGGTGGTAAAGGTGTTGGACTCCCACATGGCCGACTGCGATTCGAGTCCTGGATCCGACAGCTTGAAACTCACACCGGGAGCGTGTGCATGCATGCCCAAAATCCCAGGAGGAGAGTGGAAGAGAAGGGATTACAGGGTGGCCACCCACCATGGGAGGTGATTTCTCACTTTCCCTCTCACTGTCTCTCTCTGTCTCTCCAGTGAGCACATGTGCCCCATGTCAAAAACCTTAAGAAAAATAAAAGTTGGGCGAGATCGTCCGGGTGAGACTCCATCTCCCTCTCCATGTGCTCTCAGGCTTCCTCGTGCAGTCTCTCTCCCAGCGTGGCCGCCTCCGGACAGCTATACTGCTCACGTGGCCGCTCAGACTCCACATGTCCAGTTCTGGTTCCCCCTTGCTGGCCCGGCATGTACCCAGCCGGGAGCTGGGGTGACTTAGTGGGTGAAACGGGCTGGCCTTTGACCTGGCGTTGGAAGTCATGCGTAGCACTTTCGCTTCATCCTACCAGCACCAAACGAGGCACGAGCCCACCCAGACTCAGTGAGGGAAGACAGACCACAGCCCTCAGTGGGCGAGCTTGCAGGATTGGGACGTGGTGGCCATTTCTGGCAAACACAATCCGTGACACTGCTCTGACAGATTATTAAACTTCCAGGACAACCACAAAGTAAAAGTTATAAAGAAAAAGGGATGAACTGGCCTTACACAGCCAGCAGCAAGTAAGGGTCTGACCCCAGGGCATGCGGTCAGACCAGCAGCAGCTCAGACAACACGGGCGGGCGCTGGCCCCGGAAAAGTGAGGTCTTCTGTGCTAAAAGGGACAGTGCAAGTAAGTTGTTCTGGAAGCATTTACACTGGACGAAGATGATGGAGGAGGTTCTTATGGTGACGGGGAAGGGGCAGGACGGGGTAAGAGTCTGTCGGCAGACCTGTCCGAAGCAGCTGAGGGCAGCGGTGGTAGTCTGTCCAGCAGAACGCATGATCAGCCCAAGGGCAACTGTTAACCTGGCATGGCCTTCAGAAAGAAGGTCTCGTGAAGGCCAGCCAGTGGCATGGTGGTCAAGGTGGGTGGATCCCACATGGCCCACTGTGCAGTTCGAGTCCCAGACCCAGCGGCTTGAAAGTCACACCAGGTGTGTGTGCGTGTGTGCCCAAAATCCCAATAGGAGCATGCAGGAGAAGGGTTTGGGGAGTGGCCATACCCCCTGGGGGAAGGGAATTTCTCACTCTCTCTCTAACACCCACTCAGAATGCCCTCAGCAAGGAGGAGCAAGGCTCACACATGGGAGGGCTATAGGGGCCGGCCTGGAAGTGGAACATAGCCCCTGTCCACGTCCCAGGACTGACATTCAGTCATGTAGCCACTCCTGCGTGCAGAGGCGGCTGGGAAATGTCCTGGAATACAGTGAGGACAAGATGGAGGTGAGCACTTGCCACACGCCCCTCAGAGTCTGCCCAGGGCTGTGGGGAGGCAGAGCCCAGGGGTGGGTAAGACAGGAGACAGACTGGCCCAGAGAACACCTTTCCAGTGCGTATTTGCCAAATGCACCGGTAAGACGGCCAGTGTGGTGCAAGGCCACAGCTCTGTAGATCCCAAACCTAAGAGCCCTGCTTTCCAGGGCATGTGGGGGTTGGACAGAAATGGCCAAGAAACACTCTCACCCACCAGGCTGCACCAGTACCACCGTGCCACCCCTGTGGGCATAATCCTCAGATCTCTGTTAGTATCCATCTTACTGAGGCTCAGAGAGAGGAAATGGGCAGGGTCTTCAACACCGTCATGGAGGGGCTGGCAGAGGGCATAGTGGCTGGACTCCCACATGGCCAGCTGCAGTTCAAGTCCTGGACCAGTGACTTGAAAACCATGCGGGGCACATGCCCAAGACCCTAGGAGGAGAATACAGGAGAAGGGATAGCGGCACGGCCATCCCTTCTGGAGGGTGATTTCTCACTTTCCCTTTCTCATTGTCTCTGTCTCTCTCTCTCCAGTGAGTGTGTGCACCTCAAAAGCCTCTCAAAAAAGAAAAAAGTTCATGGAAAAGATGTGTTGTAAAAATGTGTATACAATTTTAAATTTCCTTTTGCACCAAAATGAACTCATACTTTAATTCAGTCTTTCTCTTGGCTCCTCCACCAACTGTGATCTTAGACAAGTCAAATATCTGAAAGTCAGTTTTTCCTCCTTAAAACAGAGACAGCAAGCCAGGGGCCAGCAGGTGGCATGGTGGTTAAGGGCGCTGGGCTCCCAAATGGCCGACAGAGATTCAAGTCCCAGACCTGGTGGCTTGCCTTTTCACTTTCTCTAGCTTGGAATTTTAATGTGAGAGAATGGGTTTCAGGGAGGGCTTCCTGGAGGCAGAGCTCCCCAAGGTCTAAGTGTTGAACAGCAGCCTCTGAATCCGGGAGCCTAGTCTAAAACGATGAGCAGATCCTGCGAATGAGAACCGCTCAGAGACACAAACGGAAGTCCCGGGGTTTGGACAAGCAGAGGAGAAACCTGGCAGTCTTCCCGGGGGGCGCGTGGGGGGCTTAAAGGATGGCTAGGGACCCGCAGGAAACGAGCTAGCAGGGCGGAGCGCTGCTCCCCGGGGGCAGCAAGCGTCACCACCGGCCTGCCCTGCCCTGCCGTCCTGCACCGCCTGCCCTTCTCTCTCCTTCCAGCCAAGGGGCGGGCGCCGCGACCTAAGAGGCTGGCCTTCGAGCCCCGCCAGCCCCCAGCAGACCCGGAAGTCGGCCAGGCGCCTGCCTAACCAGCGGCACTCGGGAGCGCAGTCCCTGCCAGCCGCAGCTATGGGGCCGCTGCGCTGGCTGCTTCTGCTCCTGCAGCTTCAGCTGCTGCAGGCGCCAGAGGCCGGGCCCGCGGCCCCCATCCGGGCATTCGTGGTGCCCCACAGCCATATGGACGTGGGCTGGGTCTACACGGTCGAGGTAGGTGACTGCCGACGCTCCACCCGCGTCCCCTAAGGCAGCACCTGCCTTTCCCTGTGGGATCCAGAGCAGATTTGCGTCCTGGGTCCCATGCCACCGATCCAGAAGAGGGAGGACCAGCCTGTATTCAAATCCTGACCCTACCTTACGCTGGTTGAGGCGCTGCCTTTGGGCCAGGCACTTCCTGTCTCTAAACCTCAGCTTTCCCTTCTGCGGGGTGGTGCAGTGAGGGCAGTGGGGCCCCCAGTGTGGGAGCTGACCGCTGGTGAACCTGAAGCAGAAGCGGGTGGAGCACCTTCAGAGCAGGTGGACGTCCCGTCACCGCTGGGAAGCCCCCAGGACTGGATATTGAAGGCCAGATTAGGACCCTGTGCCCTGAGGACAGGTTTTGGGATTGGACGTGTGGCGACCTCGGGGTTCTGCTCAGGACCTTGGGCAAGGGGCTTCACTTCCTGGTCTTGCAGGAGCTGTGGTTCTGGTCCTCAGCTTCCCAGCACTGTTCTGGACTGCCGGGCCCCCAGACCTGCTCTGACTTGGGGTGCTGGACCAGGCCTTAAGGCAGCCCTGGAGTTCCTGGGATGGGCTGCGGTCCCAGCCCTCCTCTGCCCCGTGAGTGGGAGGGAGGGAAGACCTGCCATGGTCATCCGAGCAGACACGCAGTCACCTTTAGGCACAGTGCTCACGATGGCAGAGGCTGTAGGTCAGCTGACTCGGGCAATTCAGGAGGCAGAGTTGTTTCCCCTGCCCTAGCTCACTCCCCCAAAGCCATGCTGGGCCCCAGTGCACCTCTGTTTCAAGACCCTGCCTGCCTCAGGGCCTTTGCATCTGCTGTGTGCTGAGCCCCAAATGCTTTTCTTCCAAATACGGTGAGGCCTTCTCGGCAGCCCCGTCTGTCCCCTATTCCCTCTCCGCTTTCCTCCTGCGTGTGTATCTCCCGAGAACCTGTGGCCATCTAACGGTTCCTGCATTTTACTTATGGCGCGTTGTCTGCTTCTCTACCGAAACATAAACTCCAGCGGGCCAGCCCATTGCCTAGAGGTTAAGGGGGTAGGATCCCACACAGACGGCAGTGGCGCAAGTTCAAGTCCCAGTCCCATTGGCTTGCCCATGTCCAAACTGCAGACAGCCTGGAGAAGTAGACCATGTCCTTTGGGGAGGTGCCTTCTCCCCCTCCCTCCCCTCCCCTTTCCTCCCCTCCTCACCTCCTCCCCCCTCCCTTTCCCCCTCCTCCTTTCCCTCTCCCTCTGGTAAGCATATGTGCCCTCTGGCAAATAAAGAATTTATTTTTTTTAAAGAAAGAAGTATAAGCACCACAGGGCAGGGCTTCATCCATTTCGTCCCCTTGGTTCACTGCTTTGTCCTCACCGTGCCTGGCAGAGGAGGCTCTGTCCCCAGAGCTCCCAGCCCCGGGGGAGGTAGGCAGACCCACAGGGACAGCCAGGGGAGCATCCTCTCCACGTCGGCACCCACTTCCCCCTTTCATTTCAGCCCGAGAAGGCCCCTGTGGGTCCCTGGGACTGTACCTGCTGCCCCCACTGTGCCAGGGCCCTGTCTGCACCCTCCCTCAGGGAAGCTGCCCTGACCCAGGGCTGGGCTGGCGCACCCTGCCCATGTCATGTGTCCCGTCTGTTTCCTCATCTCTCTCCCTGGAGAGCGTGTCCTCATCAAAGGAGGAAGAGCAAATCTCCGTCTCCCAGTCCCGACCCCCTCTGTGTGTCTGGCCTGGAGTGGGTGCCTGACAGTCATTGGTTGAATGAGCCATGGGGATGCAGGAAGCCCCCTGTAGAAATGCTTGGAAGGTGGCCGGCCCCGGGCCCCTTGATTGAACTGGGTTTCTTCCTTCGCTCCTTGGGGCCTGGCGTGATGGCACTGCCTCCCCAGGAAAGCATGCGGGCCTATGCAGCCAACGTCTATACCTCAGTGGTCAAAGAGCTGACCCTCGGGAAGCAGCGCCGGTTCATCGCCGTGGAGCAGGAGTTTTTCCGGCTATGGTGGGATGGTATCGCCTCGGAGCAGCAGAAACACCAGGTAAAGCAGTTCACCAAGTGACACGACACGGTGGCGGGGGCAGCAGCGGGAGGGGCCGCTGGGGTGCCCAGGCAAAGGCCTGAGTGGGAAGCACAATGGGGCTGCTCTGGCTGTGGCGTAAAGCACGAGGCAGAGCCCCACGGGCTGTTCATGGGGCTCATTGACTTCGGAGTTGTGGTCACGCCGTGCCTGAGAGAGGTGTGTCTAATTCTGGCTTTCTGGCTATTCTGGAAAAGACTGCCAACTCTGGCGACCCCACTATGCATCCCCGAGAGGCAGCAGCCAGCCAAGTTGGGAGTCTTAACCTGGCTTCTTCCTCTCTGCCCACCTGGGCCAAGGTGCGCCAGCTCCTGGATGAAGGACGCCTGGAGTTTGTCCTGGGCGGCCAGGTCATGCACGATGAGGCTGTGACCCACATTGATGACCAGATCCTACAGCTCACAGGTTTGGCCACCCTACCTTACACCCACGGTCCCTCAGAATCTTTAATGGGGCTAGGACTGGGTGCCTGGACCCCCGTGTTCTGAGTCGCGGGGGACTGTGACCACTGAAAACAGTGACTCACTGGTGCCGTATTCATGGCTGGCCAGGAAAGCTCAATGGCAGGGTTAAGAGCATGGATTTTAGAGCTGGACGACCTAGGTATATCCTGGCTCTTGGTTCCCACCCCTGTAGCCCTGGACAGGGGTTATGACTCTCTGTGCCTCCGTTGTCTCCTCTGTAAGATAAATTTGAGGTAATACCTACTGAAAAGGGTTGTTGTAAGGATTAAATCAGAATCATTCAAATAAATAACTATAGCGACACCTGTGGTTCCCTAGTAAATGCTTAGTAAATGTTAGCTGCGTTTAGCACTACCACCACCACCATCACCACCTCCACCACCTCCACCATCACCTCCACCATCACCACCTCCACCACCTCCACCATCACCTCCACCATCACCACCTCCACCACCTCCACCATCACCTCCACCATCACCACCTCCACCACCTCCACCATCACCTCCACCATCACCACCTCCACCACCTCCACCATCACCTCCACCATCACCACCTCCACCACCTCCACCATCACCTCCACCATCACCACCTCCACCACCTCCACCATCACCTCCACCATCACCACCTCCACCACCTCCACCATCACCTCCACCATCACCACCTCCACCACCTCCACCATCACCTCCACCATCACCACCTCCACCACCTCCACCATCACCTCCACCATCACCACCTCCACCACCTCCACCATCACCTCCACCATCACCACCTCCACCACCTCCACCATCACCTCCACCATCACCACCTCCACCACCTCCACCATCACCTCCACCATCACCACCTCCACCACCTCCACCATCACCTCCACCATCACCACCTCCACCACCTCCACCATCACCTCCACCATCACCACCTCCACCACCTCCACCATCACCTCCACCATCACCACCTCCACCACCTCCACCATCACCTCCACCATCACCACCTCCACCACCTCCACCATCACCTCCACCATCACCACCTCCACCACCTCCACCATCACCTCCACCATCACCACCTCCACCACCTCCACCATCACCTCCACCATCACCACCTCCACCACCTCCACCATCACCTCCACCATCACCACCTCCACCACCTCCACCATCACCTCCACCATCACCACCTCCACCACCTCCACCATCACCTCCACCATCACCACCTCCACCACCTCCACCATCACCTCCACCATCACCACCTCCACCACCTCCACCATCACCTCCACCATCACCACCTCCACCACCTCCACCATCACCTCCACCATCACCACCTCCACCACCTCCACCATCACCTCCACCATCACCACCTCCACCACCTCCACCATCACCTCCACCATCACCACCTCCACCACCTCCACCATCACCTCCACCATCACCACCTCCACCACCTCCACCATCACCTCCACCATCACCACCTCCACCACCTCCACCATCACCTCCACCATCACCACCTCCACCACCTCCACCATCACCTCCACCATCACCACCACCACCACCTCCACCACCTCCACCATCTTCCCATTCACAGCCATCCCCGTCACCTCCGTCTCTGTCATCATTATCATCACCATCACCATTCACAACCATCACCATTGCCATCACCACAACCGTCCCCGTCACAGCCATCCCCATCATCATCACCAGCATCCCCCTCACCACCATCCCCCTCACCGCCATCACCGCCATCCCATTCCCGTCAGCTTCACTGTCACCATCCACAGCTATCGTTGCCATTTCCCGCGTGCTTTTTGCACGTAACACCTGACTCAGTCCAACTGGCAGATTGGCAAGGAGGAATCATGATTTCCAGTCTCATTTTCAGATGTAGGAACTGAGGCCCAAAGAAATGAAGTGACTCTCTCGAAGACAAATAGCCAGGACTTGAACCCAAGACTAGTGACCAAGGCCTAAGTCCCACAGTCATTCCACTACGACCTGGGCCTCAATTCGCAAAACATCCGGGTGGAATGGGACGTTGTCCAAGAACGTTTTTAGCACGCTTCCCCTCTCCCCTCCACACCTGGAGTCTCCCTGCACTGCAGGTCCTCACTGCCTTATTTCTGAACTTGGCTCAGTTTCTGGTCTCTGCTTCCGCCTGTGAACAGCGCTCTCGGCTCAGGCCCTGACAGCTGTCTTTTGTCATTTCCGTGGACGGGGTTCCTGCTGTGCACCAGGAGCTCACCCTGTGCCTCCTCCCTGTGCCCTCACACTCCTAGGATGGATGAAGGAAGCGAGGCTCCAAGAGGGAGCCACCAGCTAGCTCCCCGACTCCAAAGCCACGCTGGTGTCCTTTCCCCATTTAAAATAAGAGCCAGGTTTTCAGCACGCCCTGCCTCCTGGCCTCCCCCAGCCTCTGCTTCCTGCTCCTGTACCTGCTCCAGCTAAGGAGCCCCTCTTTACCATCTTTCCTTCCCCTGGCGGGGACCCCTGTCTGACGCATCTCTGAGTCCCCAGGGGCACAGGGGTGCTCACAGCTGGGTCCCCATCACCATCATACTCACTTGCCCACTCAGGCAAGTGCTGACCCTGTAGGCCTGACCTACAGCACGGCAACCAGCAGCCCCTGGAAACATGGGGTCACCTCACTTTGAGGCAGGAAGGGCCCCCTGGAACCCCACAGGACCCATTTCCAAACTCCCCCATGTTCACAGGGCCCCCAGAGAGCAGACACATGGGCCCCTTTCATGATGGCCACCTGGTCCCAGCGCTGTTGTCGGGCAGTCCCTTGGAGGGGTCATCTTACAGATGCCTGTTTGTAGAGGAGAGGTGCCGCCTCTGGCGCAGCGTTTCCAAGTCACGTCGCCAGTGCGCCTGGCCCAGTCAGCTGCGCCCCCGTTCCCTGGTGGCTGCCCCAGGCCCTTGCCCCTCTGTTACCTCTAGTTGACCCATAACAGCCTGGTAACAGGTGGTACTGCTAACAGCCCCATTTTACGGATGAGGAAACCGGGGCACAGAGAGAACTGAGGATTCATATGCAGCCCACAGCAGAACTGGGGCTTAAGCCCAGGCGTGTCTGGCCCCTACTCCTCCTCTGGCTGTAGTCCCCAGGGCTGGGGAAGAGTGTCTCAGATGCCCAGGGTGACCAAACCACATGCCCCCCGTGTTCCCAGGGACCCTGGGTGTGTGTTGGCTGCATGGTGGGCCAGTGTTTCTCAGGTGCACCAGGTGATGCATTCGAGGCCACCCCTCCCTGCGCCAGGTCCCCTCGTCCTCCCTCACACCTTTGCTGAGCCCCTGCTGCAAGGACGGCCTCCCAAGGTGGCTTCCCGGGCAGGACTCAGGGTGGGCAGGGTCGTCAAGGTCCCTGAGCTCCTCTTCATCATCGCTGGGGCTCTGATGCATCTCCACCACAAAACCTTTACAGCTCCCACCGGGGCCGGAGGCACTGGGCCTGTGCACAAGCTCACTGTCCTTGGCTGTCCCTTTCCCAGCCCCTGTTCTCCCAGTCACGCTGACATCCACCTTAAATTCAGATGTGACATTTCTAGTGAGTGGAATAGCATTTGTTCTCAGCACCTCCGTGGTTAGGGAAAGCCGGGCCGTGGGCAGCAGCCCCTGGGGATAGGAGCTTCCATCTCCCTCCCTGAGGTGACAGCTCCCAAACTCCAGCCCCGTCTTCCAGCCCCTTACCAGTGGTCTCTGTCTCTCTTGGGCCTTCCTCTGTCTCTGACTCCTCCCCACTCCACGTCGTCTAGAAAAAGAGGAAAGCAGCCCTTCCAGTGCAGGGCAAAGCCACGTTTCCCCCAGGTTGATTTCTTTCATGAGAGTGAGAGACAGACACACACACTCACATGCACACACACGCTCACACATTCACACACTCTCACACCCTCGCACACTCATGCACACACACACACACACACACACACACACACCCTCTCAGCAGAATCTCACCGTGACCCTCGAGCAGCCAGTTAGGGTCACGGGCACACGTAACCGCATGTGCGGTCTCTCAGGAAACCATACCGACAGTCCAGCCCGCTGGGTCCTTGGGCTCCTTCGCTTGAGCAGCACGCTGCACATCAAGCGGCCCCACAGCCACCTTTCTTCCCTTCCCTCCTCTCCTCTGCCTTGGGCCTGTGGTCTGGCTCTGCCCTGACACGCACTCATGAGCTATGCAGCTTTTTTTCTAAGGGTTTGTTGGTTTTGTCTGCCCTGACACGCACTCATGAGCTATGCAGAGTTTTTTTCTAAGGGTTTGTTGGTTTTTGGGTTTTTTGTTTTTTGGGGGGGCTGGTTTTTTGGGGGTTTTTTGTTTGTTTGTTTAGGTTTTTGTTTTTGTTTTTTTTAAGATTTTTGGTGTAGGGTGCATTTGCCATAGCGCAAGCACACTGCTGGAGAGAGACAAAGAGAGGGAAAGTGAGAAATCACCCCCCTAACTCCTAGGACCACAATCCCTCCTCCACTCTGCTCTGAAGATTTGGGGCATGCATGCACACATGCCCAGCATGATTTTCAAATGGCCAAGTCCAGGACTCGAACCGTGTGAGAATCCAACATCTTAACCACCACACCACCTCCTGGCTCCAGAGTTTAGGAGCTTTAACAGACCAAGTGACAGTGGCTCCAACAAGAGGGAAGGCTTTTTCTCTCTGCAGAAGAGTCTGCAGGTGTAGGCCATTCAGGGTAATTGGATAACTGCTCCACGGGGTGATTCAGGGACCCAGGTTACTTCAGTCTCATTGAAACTGGCTCACTCCACTGAGTCGTCATTCCAGCAGGAAGGGGAAAAGACCTGGTGGGAAAAGGCGGCTTCCTTGTATAGGGTGGCCCAGAACTTGCCCATGGCATGTTCACATGCCCCTATTCATGGCCCCCCAGCAGCAGGGGAGGTTGGGGACATAGTCCTTGATGTGTCAAAGCCCATTGGACAGAATGGAGGTGTTTGACCTCTGCTAGTTGTACAGGAGGCCGGGAATGTAGTCCCTGACTGGGAGTCCATGTGCCCTGCTAAAGCCGAGAAGACGTGTGGTTCCGTTACTAAGAAGAAGGGGAGACTGTATATTGGGGGCTAATTAGCAGTTTGATGTATTCATCACCTCTTTCAGCTCTCAAAAATGATTTCTCCTAGCTGTGCAGAAACCACAAATAATGGTGGCTCGAGGCTTAAAGGCATTTACTATTAAGAGGGTGAGCATGGTTCAGGGACTGGTTATGCAGTTCCTCGATGTCCATGATTCTCACGTATCTGCCCTCATGGTCACAGTAAGGCTGCCATAGCTCTAGGTCTCAGGGTGTCGTACATTCACATTCAAGGTAAGAAAAGAGGAAAGGGGGTTTTCTTCCTGACTCTTCTTATTAAGGAGGGAAATCTTCCCCTGAAGCTCAGCAGGATTAATGTAAACCTGTTATTATTAATACCTATATCCACAGATCATGCTGCCGGCCCCAACCCAGTAGCACGGCCTTTAAGTGCTATGTGTGTGGAGCTGATCCCCACCTGGCTGACCGTGGTTCAAACCTGGCCCCAGTGCTGGGCACATGTACCTGTGTGCTCCCAAATCCGGACAGTATAGAGAAACAGAGAAAGGGGGAACTGGAGCATAACCATGCCCCGCTTGGGGGTGGGGTGTGCTCGCTCACTCTCTCTCTCTCTCTCTCTCTCTCATGAGTACACGTGCTCTCTGGCAATAAAAGAAAAAATTTTAAGATAAACTTTAGCACACTAAAAATGTGATTTTTTTGTTTCTTACTTTTTTAGAGAGATTTATGCTATGGGGCGCATGTGCTCACTGGAGAGACAGAGAGACACAAAGTGAAAAATCACCACCACCCCCGGGGGATGGCCATGCTGCAATCCCTCTCCTCCATTGTCCCCTTGGAATTGGGGCACATATGCACACATGTCCAGTGTATTTCGAGCCACCAGGTCTGGGACTCAAACCACCGTCAACCATGTGAGAGTCCAGTGCTGTATCCATTACGCCATCTGCTGGCCTGTGAAGAGTTCATTTGAGCAAATATCGATTCATGAATCAGGCAGCATTGGGCTACAGGTGGTTCAGGGCTCTACTAAGGGAGAATAAGGTGGAAACTTTTTTTGGGGGGGGGGGTTTACTGCGTGCGCTCACCAGGAAGACAGAGAGACAGAAAGCGAGAAATCACCCCCCAGGGGGGATGGCCACGCCGCAGTCCCTTCTCCTCCATTCTCCTCTCGGGATCTTGGGCACGCACGCACATGCGCCTGGCGTGAGTTTAAACTACCTGGTCCAGGACTCGAACCGTGGTCGACTACATGGGAGTCCAACAACACAGCCATTACGCCAACTGCTGGTCCCAAAGGTGGAAACTTTTTAAAAATTATTTTATTTAACTTTATTTATTTAGTTAGTTAGTTAGTTTAACTTGACCAGAGTGAGAGAGAAAGAAAGAGAGCGGTAAAGTGAGAAAGCAAGCCATAGGTCCAGGACTTGCACTATGGTCAGCCATGTGGGAGTCCAGCGCCCTTAACCTCCACGCCACCTGCTGGCTCCAAGAGGGAAACTTTTATAAGATGTTCCTGGAAACACTTGGCTGGTTAAAGTGGAAGGTCCCTGGTTAGAGGTTAGATGACAGTCCCTGCTTGGCGAAGTCCCTAGGCAGTGGGCAGTTTCCAACAGGGTAAGCTTACAGTGCATTTCCCTGTCTGCACTGAGCTGGGTTTTGGTTTATGTAGGCACCCACGGTAGAGCTGCCTTGACCCATGGCCTCCCAGGGGGTTATTTAACGATGCCCACCTTTGGCTGCCAGGCAGACTGAGAGAACAGCACCTGGCAGGAGGGAATGACTTGCCATGTTTGGCTTAGACCAACTGCATTCACTCCTAGAGGTGACCCCTATACAGTGATTCTGCGAGTGAAGGAGGAGCCACCCAGGCTGCAGCCATCAGGCCTGCCCACTCCCAGCAGTCCTGCCTGGTGAGAGGCCGTGGCCCTCCAGAGCGTGCCTGCCCTCTCAGCTCTGTCCTGGACCTGCACCCCAGCTGTCCTGCCTCTACTCCTGTTGGTGTCCCTGAAAGCTCAGAAGGTGGACCCCACTTACCTCCTCTGTGCATCTGACTCCAGTCTTCCCAGCCTTGCCCCACACACCAGCAGTCACCTCCCTCCCAGTCTTCGCCTTGCTTCTGAGTCTGTCCCAGAACCTCAGGCATCATCTGGGCCACAGCCACTGTCCCCAGAAACGGGGAGCTCATCACTGAGAGGCAGTTTGACCCTAGGCTAGTTACTGGAGTTCTTGGACCTTTCATTCTCTAACCTTTAAGTGCAGATCATAACACTCAGCTCTTAGGGTGTCGGGAAGGTAATATAAGCCAGTTGTTCTCAGGGTAGTTAAGGTGGCTAGATCCCACACGGCCAACTGCACGGTTTGAGTCCCAGACCCGGTAGCTTGAAAAACATGCAAGGCACATGTGCATGCTTTCCCCAAATCCCAAAAGGACAGAGAGATGATGGGAGGAGAGATTGCAGTGTGACCATTCCCCATGGGGGAGGAGGACCCTTTCCCACTTAAAAAACAAAAAGGTAAAATTTGCGGAAAAGGCTTGGGGAGTACAGTCAAGGCTTTTTCAAGTCTAGCTGGGGCTTTATTTCCTGGTAGGGCTGAGCCCGACGTCTTTCACTACAGTGGACCTTAAATCACGAACGAGTGTAAGTGGCCGGATAATTCTGGCATGGAGCACTTTTTATTCACTGCCTGTCGCCATGTAACAAATTGCCCCAACATTTAGTGGCTTCCAAAAACAAGCATGTAACTTCTGTGTGTGAGAATCTGTAGGTGAGGAGTTCAGAAGTGGCCCAGCGGATGGTTCTGGCCCAGGCCTCTCCTGGAGTTGCCAGCAGGGTATCAGGTGGGGCTGCAGGCATCTGAAGGCTCCGCTGGGGCAGGAGGCATGGCCGCCAAGCTCACTCCATGGCCGTGAAAAGGCCTCAGTCCCTCGTGATGTGGCAGCTGGCCTCAGAGCCGGCGACTGCAGTGGAAGCCGCAGTGCCCTGGGCCTTCTGCTCCCAGAGGTGCACATCATCTCACTGTGTTTGTTACAGGTGAGTCGTGGAGACCAGCCTCAGGCCTGAGGGCAAGGCAGCCGGATCCCACATGGCCGACTGCGGTTTGAGTCCTGGACACGACAGCTTATGAAACATCAAACACTGGGCGTGTGTGTGTGTGTGTGTGTGTGTGCTTAAAATCCCAAAAGGAAGGAGAGATGGAGGAGAGGGGATTGAGGTGACCATTCCACGTTGGGGGGTGGGGGATTCCCCTCTCTCTTCCTTCTCTAGCAAGCACACACCTCCTCTAGCGAGGAAAAAAGAAAAAAAAAGAGTCACTAATCTAGCTACTCTGCGGGCCGAGGCCGACGCTTCACCACTTTAAAGAAGTAGCAGTCATTTCTGGGTTTTGCTTTTGCTTTTGCTTTTTTAAAAATTTTTTGTCATTAAAAAAAAAACAACTTTAAAAATGTGGAGTTAGAGAGACAGAAACAGGGAAAGTGAGAAATCAACCCTGGGGGGACGGCCACACTGCAGTCCCTTCTCCATTCTCCTCTTGGGACCTTGGGCGTACACGCACACATGCCCGCCATGAGCCGCCAGGTCTCGAAAGCGAACCACAACCATATGAGGCTATCAGGTTAGCCACTGCACCACTGCTGGCCCCATGGGACATTCTTAATGACGGTGCATCTAGATATGCAGTCCATCGCTAGCCTTTGATTGTTCGTGATGCCCAGGGACTCTGAGCAGCCAGCAAAATCAGTGCTTTGTTGAAGTTCTTACTAAAATCCTCACCTCAATGCGAACTACGGCATGGATGAGCCTTGAGGGCACTGTGCGGCCTGAAGTAAGTTGGTCCCAAAAGATCAGTCCTGTCGGATTCCACTTTGACATCCCCAGAGCCGTCAAATTGATGGGAAGTTGAAGCGTTCGGGGACGGGGTGGGGTGCACCGCGGTACGCAGGTCCTTCATACCCCTGTGCTGCCCGACTGAGCATGGTTAAGATGGTGCAACTTCTGTTGTATCTTACTACAATTAAAAATGGAAGTGCTCACCTCTGCTAGCTCACGCGACCCTTTTTGGCCCAGTATCTGCACACCAGCCCACTGGACAGGCAGGGGTGCCCCAGGCAGGTGTGGGGGATGGGGCAAGGGCCCACCCTGCCAGTCCAAGGTGGCGGTGCTGTCTTTGCAGAAGGACACGGCTTTCTCTATGAGACATTTGGAGTCCGGCCACGCTTCTCCTGGCATGTCGACCCATTTGGTGCATCTGCCACGACTCCTACCCTCTTCGCACTGGCGGGCTTCAACGCCCACCTCATCTCCCGGATCGACTACAACCTGAAGAACGCCATGCAGGAGGCCCAGGTGAGTCATGCACCATGCCTGCTGCCGCCTCTGCTGCTCCCTCGTTCCGTGTCTCAGAAAGCCACTGCCCGGTGCTGGAGCCTGTGGGAATCCATGACAGCAAGCTGGACCCCTGGGCTGTCCCAGACCCACTGCTGCTCTTCTCTCTCCTCCTCCAGGCTGGCCCTCTTCTTGTGTCCAAGCTTCTTACAGAGCTGCAGGTCCAGCGGCCCCAAGGCCCCTTCCCGCTGGTCTGTAGGCCCCAGGGCAGAGGTGGTCCTAGAAGGGCTGGCTCCGTGAGCAGTTATTGATGAGCCAGAGGAAGTGAGGGGCCGCTCAGCCGGGAGGACGGTCAGGAGAGGCTAAGCCCCTAGTGTGTGTGAGCAGCGGAGACAGCAATGAAGAGTAGTGATAGCCAAGGAGGGCCTGCCTTTGCTCACCCAGTGGCGGGCCTGGGGCCAAGCTCTCCTCATCCTTCATTTCCCGTACCCCTCCCAGCACCTCTGTGAGATGTCGTGTTAGTGTGTTCCCCCAAAACAAAGCCTCATTAACTGGGCGCTTAAAACAAGCGAAATTTGTGCTCTCAGTCAGGAGGCCAGAAATCTGAAGTCCAGGTGTCAGCAGGGCTGGTTCCTCTGAGGCCTGTGCTCCTTCCAGGCCTCCTTGGCTCCTAGACACCATCTTCTCCTGTCCCTTCATGCCCTCTCCCTTCTGTCCTGTCCTTATTCGGGTTCCTCTTTTTATAAGGACATCAGCCCTGGGACCAGCAGTTAGCATAATGGCTGTGTCACTGGACTCCCACGTAGCTGACCGCGGGTCGCCCTCCGCACCCAGCGGCGCCTCCCGTACCCAGTGGCTTAAACACATGCCGGGCGCGTGTGCATGCGTGCCCAAGATCCCAAGAGGAGAATGGGGAGAAGGGATTGCGGTGTGGCCATCCCCCTGGGGGGTGATTTCTCGCTTTCTGTCTCTCTGTCTCTCTCTCTCTGTCTGGCGAGCGCATGCACCCTATAGCAAAAACCTCTCCAAAAAAAAAAGAAAGAAAGAAAAAAAAGGACACCAGCCCTACGGGACCAGGGCCCACCCTAATGACAGCATTTAACTTGATTACCTCTTTAAAGATCCTACTTCCAAATAAATACGGTCACGTTCTGAGGTACAGGGGTTTGGACTCCCAACTTATGGAGGTGCACTGTTCATGCAGAGCTACAGACGGGGACTGAGGCCCGCGGAGGCACACATCCCGCCCGGCTCTTAGCACAGTGGCGGAAGCGGATTTAGGCTCCAGGTGGGCGAGAGAAGCCACGTTCTTGAGCCCTGCTAAGTAGGGGCTATTGAGGATTAAGCTCCTGCTGACCACGAGCAGGCCTCCTGTGTCAGCTCATTCCACCTGCCCATGCCGCTGTGAGTACGGCGCGGCTCTGCGTGTCCTGTCCCAGAGGTTAGGGACTAGCGCGTGGTCCCAGAGCCGGTACTTAATAGGGCCAGTATTTTTCCCTGCTTTGTGATCCTGAGCACTTTCTAAGTAGACTATTAACAAGTAGACTGCACACAGGCACTGAGCTCCCTGAACCCCGGGGTATTCAAGCAGAGTAAGAACGAGTTACTCTTTGAGGCCTTGGCAGAGAAGCCAGCCCTGTGGGTGAATGAGTTCGTTCCAGAGTGAAAATTGCGCGGCCTTGGAGGCGCAGAGAGGACTCTTGTGGAGGAAAGGCAGAGAGAGATCTTGTCCTGGAACTGCTGCAAGTGGGCCAAAGGGCAGGACCGGGGAAGCCGCCTTGCCCTCAGCCCTGACCGTGTCCCCTCCTGGTCTGCAGGGGCTGCAGTTCCTGTGGCAAGGGTCCCCGTCCCTGGCGGCCCAGCAGATCTTCACACACGTCATGGACCAGTACAGCTACTGCACGCCCTCCCACATCCCTTTCTCCAACAGGTGGGTCCCTTTCTTTTCTTTTTTCTTTTCTTTCTTTTTTTTTTTTGGAGAGGTTTTTCTACAGGGCACATGCACTCGCCAGAAAGACAGAGAGAGACAGAAAGTGAGAAATCACCCCCAGGGGGGATGGCCACACCACAGTCCCTGCTCCTCCATTCTCCTCTCGGGATCTTGGGCACGCACGCACACGCACCCGGCGTGAGTTTAAGCCACCGGGTCCAAGACTTGAACCATGGTCGACTACGTGGGAGTCCAGCAACATAGCCATTATGCCAACTGCTGGTCCCACAGTGGGCCCATTTCTGAGGTGCCACCTGCCTGCCTGGGGCTGTCCCCCTCAGAGTCAGAGGACAGCAGGGTTAGCCAGCCCCTGTAGCTTTCACATTTCCACATTTGGGTTTCCATTTCTAAGCCTCTCCAGCAGAGGGGGGTGTTGTTATTAACCCCATTTTACAGATGAGGGAACAGCTCAGAGAGGGTAACAGACCCACTCAGGGCCACCCAGCTGGTAAGTGGGGGTGCAGGGTTTGCCTCCAATTCAGTGTGACCCCATGTTGCATGTCCTCATGAGTCTCATGGCTGTGTAGGATGCCTTAGAGGACGAGGCCTTTACATCAGCGCTTCCAAGGCCTCCTGCCCTGGCCCTGACATGTTCCTCCTGCTCTGGGCCTCAACCATACCTACACGTGCAAGGGAGGAAACCGAAGGGCTGATTTCCAGAACCCTCCAGCCAGACAGCCACCCTCATCCTCTCCTGACTGCCCTCCGGGTGTCACAGAGAATCGCTCCGACACCCCCAGGCTACCTGGGCTGCTTTTAGTTTGATTTTCCCTCAACCACAGTGAGCAGCTGGTTCCAGGCTAATGGGTGTTGGGTCTGGGGTGCTGTGGATGTGGGGGAAGGTCCCCCGACATGGGCGCTTCCCCACCCGTGCCTGGTGTGGCCTGACTTGTCGTGGGGAAGTTAGCTCAAAGGCCTGTCTCCACCCTTGCCAGAGAGAAGCCAGCACGGAGGACCGGGAGGGGAGTGAGCGTCTCCCAGAGGGCGACTTCCACTACGCAGGTGGCTGCGGGAGCTCAGAGGGGACTTGAGGAGGACCAGCAGGGGGGATCTGGGGCCAGAGCCCTGAGGAGCCACAGCAAAGCCTGAGCCAAAGGAGAAACGTTGTTAATATTGATCTGTCCTTATTTAAAACTGACATTTTATTCACCATGGATTTTTGCCATCAGGTTAATTCGATGTTTTAAAGTCCCCCCCTAAAGGTCCCCCATCCTGACCGTCGAAGTTCTCGGCCCTCCTCTCATTGTGTCCCCGAGTCCTCACTCGCAGCACTCCGGCCCCAGCCTGCTTGAGGTCCTGAGACCCCACATGTGCTGGGCAAGGAGGGGCCTGCTCGAAGGAGCCAGGGGGAGAGCACCTCCTCTGCGCTACTTCAGGCCGTCGTAGCGGGACAGCGAGGTCGTTGGCTCCCCGTGGCAGCCGAAGGATTCTGGCCGTGGGGTCTCCAGCCAGTATACACGGCACTTGGATTGAGCCCTTCCTAGCTGCAGTGTCATCTTCTCCCCCCGCCTTCTGCTCCCCCGCAGGTCGGGCTTTTACTGGAATGGTGTGGCCGTCTTCCCGAATCCACCTCCGAAGGGGGTGTACCCCAACATGAGTGAGCCCGTCACCCCAGCCAACATCCGCCTCTATGCTGAGGCCCTGGTGACCAATGTGAAGCTGCGTGCTGCCTGGTTCCAGACACCCCACGTCCTCTGGCCTTGGGTAAGGGGGGCCCAGACCCTGGTGTCCTCAACGCAGCCCAGGACGTGCTGTGCAGGCAACCCTGCACCCAGGACCACCCCAAACTCGTCCCCGACTTCAGCCATACCAAGCCCTTGCCAGACGCCATCCTCAGCCCAGCACTCGTGCTCCTTCTCTGCCCCAGTTCACCCACTTGACCACCTCCTCAGCCACCCTGTACCCCCCCACCACCACCAGCCTGTCCCTCCTGGCAGCCTGCAGCTGCCACTCAGCCTCCTGCTGTCCCCATCACAGCAAAGGCTCAGGCCAGAACCCTGGCCCCTACGTGGGCACTGTATGCTCAGAACCCTCCGCGCCTCAGCTTCCCAGTGTGTAACATGGGGACAATGACAGGACCCGCTTCATAGGCTTGATGCGAGGTTGTGCGAGGGAAGGTGTTCCCAGGTAGACAGTGCCCCGCACATCGTCCTCGTCGTCATAGCTAACCGTTACTGACGCCCACGGAGTGCCACGCACTGTTCTCTGGGCTAGATTTGTCACTGAGGCAGGCATTGCTGGTGCCCCGTTTGGCAGTGGAGGGAACTCAGACCCAGGGAGGCTAAGGAATTGCCCTGAGGCCACACAGGACCGCCTAGCTGTCCTCCTCAGCAGGACAGGGCGGAGGCTGTGTTCAGGCTCCATCAGGTGGGCCACAGCCTGGCTTCTCAACCTGCGACCGCCTTTTTAAAGGTGAGTTTCAGGCCGGTCGCGTGAGCCCTGGCTGCTGTTACTGTGGTTGTTAATAACCATCTTGTTACAACCGAGATGCTGCCACGCAGTGACACCGACGGGCTTTAAGAGATGCCCGGGGCCTTCCGCTGCGGGCACCTGGCCAGGGCCTTAGTGGCTGGGTGAAGAGTGGAGGCCGACTAGTGGGGCAGTCGCGAGCCTGCCCATCCTGGGTGAGCTCTCCTCCCAGAAGCACATGGTGCTGTTCCCCTGTGGGGCCTGCAGGGATGTGACAAGCAGTTCTTCAACGCCTCGGTGCAGTTTGCTAACATGGACCCCCTGCTGGCCCACATCAACAGCCGTGCTGCCGAGCTCGGTGTCTCTGTGCAGTACGCCACGCTGGGCGACTACTTCCGTGCCCTGCACGCCCTCAACGTCACCTGGAGCGTCCGTGACCACCGGGACTTCCTGCCCTACTCCTCAGGTAGGAGCCTCGGGGGCTGGGTGGTTTGTGCCATGGGGGGACAGGCCTTCCACCTGCCTCAGCGTCTCCACCTGCTCTCGGAGCCTGCGAGTGGGGCCATGCAGGCCCTGTGACAGCCTGGGGCAGACATCGGCCCTACCTGCTGTCCCTCCTCCACAGTCTGGCTGCCCTGCGCACAGCCTATTTCCGACCGGGGTGAGCTCTCACCACAGCCCACACCATCATTGTCCTGTCTCCATGGCTCTGCGTTTGCAGTGACCACCCCCCCACCCCAAGAGCACCCTCTCCCCCACCTTCTCTTGCTGTGTAAGTGCCACGTATACCTCCTCCAGGAAGCCTTTCCTGATGCTGAGGCTGCCAGGTGCCTCTGGTGTCCCAACAGCACTCCCACTACCCCAGGCCCTGTCCAGGGCTCCCTGGGCACTTCCTGTTCTGGCTGGAGGAGAAGCCCAGGACGGAGAGCCTCAGCCTGGGGTCACTGCCTGCCCCGGGTTGCCTCCCAGGGTGGCTCAGGCAGACATCGTCCCACGGCGGCCCCCACTTGTTCAGCTCATCCTGGGCAAGGGCGAGGGCTGAGTGGACTCTGGAGCAAGAAGTCTCGCACTCACCGTCCGTGCTTGTCTCCAGAACCACTGCAGGCCTGGACGGGCTTCTACACATCCCGCAGCGCACTCAAGGGGCTGGCGCGGCATGCCGGTGCCTTGCTGTATGCTGGGGAGTCCTTGTTCACACGCTACATGTGGCCGGCGCCCCTCGGGACTCTGGACCCCGCCTGGGCCCTGCAGCAGCTGCAGCAGCTCCGCTGGGCCGTCTCTGAGGTAATGCCAGCTCACAGCAACAGGCCCGGGCATGGCACTTCCATGGCTGCGTGCCTCCCACCTGGCCTAGCGAATCCTCCCCACCCTGGGCCTAGAGGCCCTCTTTACAGAAGGGAGAACTGGGGTCCCCTTTGGTCGCAAGGCCCACGCTGGTGAAGCTGGCCCCGAGATCTGATGGCACCCAGCTGGTGCCCTCGTTAAGCTTTGTAGCTGATTTTATCGCGAGGAGTAAAGGACAAACTGAGGTGGCATTGGTGTCCTGCCTGCTTTCAAATATGGCTTGACTGAGTGACCTCAGGCGTGTGACACCCCCGCCCACCCTGTGCAGTAAGAATGACATGCCTGCCCAGGAGGAGGGCGGGCAGTGGAATGTGACGATACCTGTAGCCCGGGCAGCACGGTGGCCTCCGCGTGGCAAGTGGCTGATGGATCTTCATCTCCGGTCATCCCCCCCTGTTGGAGCGGCAGATAGAGACCCAAGTCTGTAACTTGTCCCAGGCCACTCACCCAGAAGAGGGCCATGCCATGTGACTCTCAATTACATAAGGGGAATCGCTGGTGAAATTGGTCCCCATGTTGTGGGGGCCTGGATTAGCCTTAAAGCCCGTCAGAGCAGGGCAGGCCAAACAGCTTTGCCCGCGGAGCCCCGGTTTCCCCTTCTGTGAACCTCAGTGCTGGGTGTGCACGTCACATTGCCCGGAGTGTGCCTGGAATGTGCCGGCTGCACGCAGGACCATTGGACTGGGGGTGAGGTGTGAAGCCGTTCTACCTGGGGCGGAGGGCGAGGGCAGCCGTTTTCCACAGCAGGAGGGCTGGCCGCGTTCATCGGCCTCTCTGAGCCTCAGTTTCCTCTTCTGTAAGACGGGAGGGACTCCCACCTCCCCTGGTCCTGCACAGTAGGCACTAGGTGCCTCTGCCTAGGTGACCCCTGTCAGTTAGGTCCTGAGCCCGTCCGTCCTGGGGACCCTGCAGGTCCAGCACCATGACGCCATCACCGGGACCGAGTCCCCCAAGGTGAGAGACATGTACGAGGAGCACCTGGCCGCAGGCATGCTGGGCGTGCGCAAGGTGATGGCTGCCATCATCCTGGACCGACTCCGACCCGCGGAGCAAGCGCGGCAGGCAGCCCCGGCAGTTGACTCAGGTACGCCAGGCCCCATGGGGAGCCCACGTGGAGTCTGGAGGGTCAAGGGAGAGGCCTGGACCCGGAGCTGCCGACTCCGTGTATCCCCTCCCTGTGACATGAGCGTGGGCAAGTGGCTTCTGTTCTCTGAGCCTCTCTGTCCCTCATCTGTGAAACAAAGGGTTGGTATTACAGTTAGAGGAAGCGGTAACTGCTAACGTGTTCGGTACATTACTATCAATAAATTCAGAATAGTCTTCATGCAGTATTTAACTGAATACCTCACAGTACCTCTGAGATAGAAGCTATTACTGTCCTCGGTTTATAACTGAGGAAACCGAGACTCCCAGAAGTTATATACCAGCCCGAGGTCACATAGGTAGGAAGGAGCGGAGCAAGGATTTGAACTCTTAACCCTGCATTGCCCTTCCTTGCAGAGAGGATGTGGGGGTCCTCGGGGCTCGGTCCCCTGGGAACCAAGGATGGGACAGACAGGCCCCTGCCCCCTTGGGACTCCCGTCTTGTGGGAGATAGCTGCAGAAAGCGATAACCTGGCATGGGGGGGGTGCTGACTTGACTGTCAGGGGGTGGGGCAGCTGAGGAGCTTTTATTTTAGTAAGATGAGCACATAAGGGAGGCTCCCGCGAGAGTGAAGACGGACGAGACCTAGAACGGCAGCCTTGCCGACGGGAATAGCCCAGGCACAGGCGGAGCGTCTGCATGTGCGTGCTGTGTTCGGGGTCCCAGCATCATCAGACGTGGCCTGCGGTTCTGACACACGGGGTGGCAGGACGGGGCAGAGCAGAGGCCAGGAGCACACTGCAGGGGTCCTGAATGATGGGCTGTACACCACAGGCTCCATAGAGTTTTCCGGTCACTCACAGTACAAGAACTCAAAGCTGGGACCAGCAGTTGGCGTAATGGCTAGGTCGCTGGACTCTCATGTAGCTGACTGAGGTTCGTGTCCCGGACCCGGTGACTTAAACTCACACCAGGCACATGTGCGTGTGTGCCCAAGATCCTGAGAGGAGAATGGAGGAGAAGGGAATGCGGCGTGACCATCCCCCCTGGGGGGGTGATTTCTTGCTTTCTGTCTCTATGTCTCTCTCTGTCTGGTGAGTGCATGCGCCCTATGGTAAAAACCTCTCCAAAAAAAAAAGAAAAAGGAAAAAGAACTCAAAGCTTTGGAGGCATACCTTAGAAAGTGGGTCATGGGACCAGCAGATGCCGTATGTCACTGGACTCCCACATGGCTGACCGTGGTTCAAGTCCCAGACCCGGTGGCTTAAAACTTACACCAGGTGCGTGTGCATGCATACCCCAAATCCCAAGAGAATGGAGAAGAAGGGATTGCAGTGTGGCCATCCCCCCAGGGGATGATTTCTCGCTTTCTATCTCTCTGTCGCTCTAGGTATGTGGGCCCCTTAAAAAAAAACCTCCAAAAAAAAAAAAAAAAAAAAAGGTCTCATTAGTCAGGTTTGCTCCTTAGTGAAGCAGGCTGATAGAGATAGGTAAGGTAGAGATAGGTAAGGAGCAAATGGAACCTCGGGTGCAGGAAGCGCTGTGGGCCCTCTTCCTGCCTCAGACCTGGGCCGCGCCTGCCCTCTCCCCATGTCCCTTGGGGGTTCCAGAAGGCTGTCTCACCTCCTCGGTTTCCCCCGCACCAAGGGGCCTCCGTGGGTGCTGAGTGAGTCCGGGAGCAGCCAGGAAAGCCTGTTCTCTGTGCACGCACAGGGCCTGCAGGACGTTCTGCTGTGGTCTACAACCCGCTGGCCTGGACCGTCACCACCATCTTCACCCTGACTGTCGGCTTCCCCAGAGTCAGTGTCACGGACGAGTCGGGCCTCCCCGTGCCCGCACAGGTACAGATGCAGAATCTGGCAAGAGGGCGTTTGCTGACCCCTGCTCCAGCCTGGGCACTTCATGCACACCTAAGCCCTGCAAAGGAGACCTCAGTGCCCCAGTTTTACAGATGAGGAAACTGAGGCACAGAGAGGTAGTGTTTCTTTTTCCCATTCCATCTAATGCTGAGATCGACTGGATGTCCTAAAATTCAGTTCAGTTCTGAACGAACTGCCCACGTAACCACAGACCCTGCAAGTTAGGGGCTTGATCCTACAAGGCCCCCCACTTCAGATGCAGCCAAAAGCTTCCAAAGCCACTGCACATCTGTCCAGCCGACTAGGAATCCAGGGGTTCCCACACCACCACTATCCCAGTTTGATAATTCGGTAGACTCTTCACCCAAACACAGTGTCTATTAAGAGCAAATTCACTCACCAAACATTTCCAGAGCCCCTACCACGTATCAGACCTTGTTCTAGGGACTGGGAGAATGGTACTACCGGGCAAAAACCCTGCCACCAGGGGTCCTTATAGTCTAGTGGAATATAAATGAGAAAACTAAAATAAGAAAGCCATGGGGACCAGCAGTTGGAGTAATGGCTATGTCACTGGACTCCCACGTAGTTGACCGCGGTTCGAGTCCCGGACCCGGTGGCTTAAACTCACGCCGGGCGCGTGTGCGTGCGTGCCCAGAATCCCGAGAGGAGAATGGAGGAGAAGGGATTGCGGCGTGGCCATCCCCCCTGGTGGGTGATTTCCTGCTTTCTATCTCTCTGTCTCTCTCTGTATGTCTGGCGAGCGCACGCGCCCTATAGCAAAAAAAAAAACCTCTCCAAAAAAAAAAAAAAAGAAGAAAGAAAGCCATAGACCATGCTAGACATGGATAACCGTGATGGAGGAAGGTCACTGGAGCAGGTTGTAGGACTGGGGACACGTTTTTAATAGGGCGGGCCAGGTGGCATCAATGCAGGATCGGGCAAGGGGAGAACAGAACATCTGCTGGATTTTGAATGAAGGCTGGCTTGCTGAAAGGCCTCCCCACAGGGACTCAGGAATTGCATGCTTTAGCATGCGATCTCAGCTGAGTGTTTCCAGGGCTGCCTTCAGCCTCCCTTCCTCAAGCCAGGTACCTTGGAGATGGGCAGAAACCAGGAGAGTAAACCCAACGTGGAAATGAGAGGATTAGGGATCACCTTCTCCCGAGAAGGCTATCCAGAGAGGGGGGAGAGCACGAGCAGAGGCGTGGAGGGGGAAGAGCAGAAGTACTGGGAAGAAAGGGCAGCTGGGGAGGCTGGAGCCCAGGAAGTGAGCAAGGCAGTGGGGGAGAGGAGGCTGGGTCCTGGTCTGCCTGGAGGCCTGCTTCTTGGCTTGCAGCTGATGAGGGTCTTAAAAAGCTTGCTCTAGTTTCTGGGTGGATGGGTTGATGGGGACTGCAGGGGATCTGGGGACACCAGTGAAAATGCTGGGCAGCTGTGACCAGATAGAGGCCACAGGGAAGGAGAGTGAGAGGCCCTGAGAGTCCTCAGGATGAATGGGCAGGCCTTGATGGGGTGGAGGTGACTAGTTAGGGGTGGCAGTGTCTGTAAGGACCAGGTGGTGTGGGGTGGGCACTGCTTGGGAGTAGGTGCTGGAAGGACTGTCACTGGATGGGGAATGTAGGAGGGGGCGGCTGTGGGTCCAGTGGGGTAGCTGGTGAAGTCAGCTGTGGGCATCTCAGTGGAGGCATCTGGCAGGGAGCTGTGTCCATGGGGCTCAGGAGCCAGGAGAGGTCAGAGGTTAAGACCTGGATTTGAGAATCATTACTTTTGGATGTAGGAAGGCTGAGGGAGCTGGAGGTGTTGCTCGTCCTTGGAGAACCTGATAGTCCACCATGTTCAGGCCACCAAAGGGTTCTCCTGGGGTCAGGGTTTTTTGTGGGGGTCCCAGAGGATAAGGTGTCAAAGTGGAGACAAGATGAGGGAGGAGAACTTGGCATGGTCCAGGGTTTGGATAGTCACTGCACCCTGTCCCAGAGAGTGTGCATGCTGGAGGTTACTCGGGAGACTGAGGGGCCTGCCAGCTCAGAAATTCCCCACTTCGCCCTGTCCTGCTGACCTTGCAGATCCAGAACTCAACAGCGATCCCATCTATGTATGACCTGCACATCCTGACCACAATCCCTGGCCTTAGTTTCCGGCACTACAGCATCAAACCCACCTCAGGGGTGCAGAAGGGCTCCCGGGAGCCAGCTGCCACCGTAACCAGAACCCTCCACTTTGGCCGCAAGCTGAGAAGACATGCCAGCCACAGAGGCAAGCACCTGTTACACATAGTGAATGACTGCTATACTGTGTTGCTCAATCAAGACACCAACCTGATGCAGAGCATCCAGGACAGGTGAGGTGCAGCCATCACTGCCTTTGAGGCAGAGGAGTGTCTGGGGCTTGACATACGCCTCTCTGGGGTCTCTTGGCTCACTTGCTTGGAGAAGGACTGTTGCTGGTGAGGCCCCTTCCTGTTGTTGTGATCTTTAATTCTAGGAATATAAGTCCAGGCCAGTGCAAGAAAGGCTTTCTTTCTTTGTCTTTATTTTCTAGAGTACACATGTGCTTACCAGAGACAGACAGACAGAGAAGGGGGAGGAGAAAGTATCTCACAGTAGAGCATGGCCACACTAAATCCTTTCCCCCTTTCTCCACCCTGTCAAGATCTGGGGCATGCATACACGTGCACTTGGCATCTTTCTCAAACCACCAGGACTGGGATTTGAACTACCATGTGGGATCTGGCTCTCTTAACCATTAGACCATGGGACTAGCACAGGAAAAGTTTTCTTACATTTTTTTCTCTCTTTTTTTTCAAGAAGTATTTACTTAATTTAATTTCATTTTTAAAGTTTGCTATAGGGCGCACACGCTCACCAGAGAGAGGCAAAAAGAGAGAGAAAGTGAGAAAGCAAGCCACCAGGTTCAGGACTCAAACCACAGTCAGCCATGTGGGAGTCCAGCACCTTAACCACCATGCCACCTGCTGGCCCCCTTACACTTTCTCTTTCCAGAACTGTTGATCCACAGAAAAAGGAGACATTGAGGAACTCACCCTGGGAAACAATTTATTCATGTTACGAATAAGTAGTGTGAATTTAACAAAACGAAATTTGTATTCAGTGGATAATCATACTGACTTTGGAATAGGAGGAGACCTTTGAAATCATCTAGTCCCTGGGACCAGCAGATGGTGTAAGGGTTACATCTCTGGACTCCCATGTCGACCACAGTTCAAGTCCTGGACCCATTGGCCTAATCTTATGCACGGCATGTGTGCGTGCCCAACATCTGGAGAGGAGAATGGAGAAGAAGGGATTTCGGCATAGCCATCCCCCCTGGGGATGATTTCTTGCTTTCTGTCTCTCTTTCTCTGTCTTTCCAGTGAGCACATATACCCTGTAGCAGAAATCTCTTTAAAAAAACCAACTCACCTGAACCTCCCGCACACCCGCCCATCCACCTACCCACATATCTACACGGTTACCTATTTACCCACCCACTCATCCATCTCTCTTTCCATTCAATAGCCAACACCCCAAGAAGGGCCTCCCCACTGGCTTGGGGCCAGCCGTTCCTTGGGCCATGCCAGTGCAGTTTCCATCATCCCAGCTGCCTCTGCCAGAACACCTGCTTTGTCCCCTTATGTGACCTCCTAGCAGAGCGGAGTAGTGGCAGCAAGTGAGAGGCAGGAAGTGGGGAGGGAGAAGGGAGAGGAAGGGGGCATCCAGCTGGGAGGCCAGGCCTCCATCCGAATGGGTTCTAGTCGCGTCTGTCCTCCTCATCATTCCGAGACAGAGCAGGGCTGGGGGACTGACAGCAGCCAGTGTGGGTGATCGGGGACAAGCTGGGCAGGGAAACAACAGAAATGGGCGAGCCTCCCTAGTGAGCCTGGGAAGGGTGGAGCCTGCACACTGCCCTCTCCTCGCTCAGGCCCCAGCCTCCTGCAGATGCTCCCGCTGCAGATGCTGCTACAGGGTCAGCCCCAGCTTGCCTCCCCTCCGCCCGCCCTCAGGTGCCACACACCTAAGCATCGTCCTACCCCAGCCTTTCCCAGGACTAGAGCTCACCCCTGGCACCTGTCTGTGTCTTACTTGGAACTCCAGTGAGGACGGGGTGTTCTTTATTAGCCCCCCCCAAAACCCCACCAGGGAAAGCCTCACAAGACAAGCTCCTACTCCCTGAGCAGAAAGGAGCTGTTGCTATTCAGCAGGGAACTCAAGGCAGGCTTGACGGGAGGAAACCCTGGAGCCATGGCTCTGGCCTTACGGGGAATCTCAGGGCAGAGGGCTGCAGACAGTCGTCCATAGAAAGGAACTGAGGCCTGAGGTGGGGAGGAAGCCGCCCGTGCAGAGGCCTGAGGTGGGAGCCCTGATGTACACAGGCACCAACTCCAGGGCAGTTTGAGTTGAGGGAAACTTTTCTCCCTATGAAACCGTTTTAATGAGATACAAGGGGACTTCAAAAACTTCATGGAAAAGTGGAATTAAAGTGTAAGTTTATTTGGCTGCAAAATGTTCTGAAATCCATGCAAAGTTTTTCATAATATGTATCTCCATGAACTTTTTGAATGCTGCTTGTGTAAATTCACATATCGCATAATCCCTCTGTTTAAATTGTGCAGTTCAGGGGCCAGCAGGCAGCATGGTGGTTAAAGGCACTGAATTCCCACATGGCTGACCACAATTTGAGTTCCAGACCTGGCGGCTTGCTTTCTCACTTTCTCTCTCTCTCTCTCTTTCTCTTTCTGTGTGTCTTGCTATGGTCAAAATAAAAAGAACAATAATGATAAAGAAATAAATGAAATAATTCTTTAAAATTTTTTTTAAAATAACAAATTGTACAATTCAGGGGACCAGCAGATGGTGTAATGGTTATGTTGCTGGATTCCCATGTAGTCAACCTAATTCGAGTCCCAGACCCGGTGGCTTAAACTCACACCGGGTGCTTATGCGTGCGTGCCCCAGATCCCGAGAGGAGAATGGAGAAGGGATTGCAGCGTGGCCATCCCCCTTGGGGGGTAATTTCTCGCTTTCTGTCTTTCTGTCTCTCTCTGTCTCTTTGGCGAGTGCACATGCCCTATAACAAAAATCTCTCTCTTAAAAAAAAATGTACAATTCAATGGTTTTTAGTATATTCACAGAGATAGGCAGTCATTGCAATCAATTTTAGAACATTAGCATCACTCCCAAAAGAAACTCCTGTTTATTAACAGTTCCCAAACGCCTAGCCCGTGGTAACCACTCATCTGTTTTATGTCTCTGTGAGTTTGCCAATTGTGGATTTCATATAAATGCGATCATACAATAGATGGCCTTTTTGTGTCTTGCTTCTTTCACTTAGCGTGTTTTCAAATTTCTACATGTTATATCATGTGTCAGTATTTTATTCCTCTTCATGGCTGAATAATATAACATTGCATGGATGTACCACCTTTTGTTCATCCATTCTTAAGCTGATGGACATTGGGGTTGTTTCTACTTTTTGGCAGAATACTGTGCTGTGAACATTTGTAGATTTGTGTGGACATGTCTTGGGTATATACCTAGGGATGGGATTACTCTGTGTCTACCCCTGTGAGGAACTGGCAGGCTGTTTTCCAAAGGACCTGTGCTATTTTATATTCCCATCACCAGCTAATACGCCCACCAGCAGTTGTATGAGGTTCAGCTTCTTCTCCAACACGTGTTTTTCTCTGTCTTTTCACTTAGAGCCATTCTAGCAAGTGTGAAGTAGTAGATAATTGTGGTCTTCTTTTCTAATTATTTTTTTAATCATCATAATGTTTATATCACATGGGATTGCATATAGCTTTACAGTGTATTACATTGCTTTTTCAAAAGGGAATGCCATGCATGTCAGTCAATACAGAGACATTAATCTCCCCACTTCATCAATCAGTATCTTTTCATTGTTTTTCCCAATCATTATTACTATTATTCCAATTATTTTTTTCAAACAGTCAATCACTATCTCTCATTTTCCTTGTAAAAAGACTTTACCCATCATGAAATACTTCTCAGACCAGTCCAGTTGAGAATACTATACACGTCATCATCAACAGGTAATAAGCCAGATCTGTGTTCCACTAACGTCCTGCCTATTTGTGCTCTTGATAATTGTGGTCTTGATTTGCATCAGACTCATGGTGTTGAGTATCTATTTACTTATTTAAGTTTGCTATAGGGAACATGTGCTTGCGAGAGCGAGAAAGTGAGAAGTCACACCCCAGGGGCATGGCCACGCCGCAGTCCTTCCCCACTCTCCTCTAGGATTCCGGGCACGCACGCACATGTGCCCAGTGTGTCTTTCAGGCTGCCAGGTCTGGGACTTAAACCATGTGGTGAACCCTGTAAGATCCAGTCACCTTAACCACCATGCCACCAGCTGGCCCCTGAGCTTATCTTTATGTGCATACTGGCCCTTTGTGTACCTTCTTCACTGAAGTGGCTATTCAGACCCTTGCCCGTTTTGTTGTTGTTGTTGTTGTTTTTAATACACATGCCTGAGAGAGAGCGCACCAGCCGCAAGGAAGCCTGGTCACCCCTCTCCTACAGTGCTCCATCCTGTCAGGCTCCTGGGCACACACTCACATGCCTGGTGTGTTTCTCAGACTATTGGGACCTGGACTCGAACCCTGGTCCTTTTGCCCATTTTTGTATTGGGTCGTCATTTTATTATTGAGTCGTAAAAGTTCTTCATGTGTCCTAGATAGCAGTTCCTTATCAGACATGATTTACAAATACTTTCTCCCATTCCTTGGTTTGTCTTTTCACTCTCTCAATGTAAAGAAAGCTGAGGACAGAGCACCTGGGGCCAGCGGTGAGAGGCCTCTCAGGCCAGACTAAGGAAAATCATTCTTCTCTTCTCTCCCCTTCCACGGGGCTCAGTGGGCCCTCCTCCTCTAGCCTTCTTTCCTCCTCTTCCTTGGCTTCTTTCACCCTGACCATAATCAGACAGAACGCCAGAGTAGTAGGCCAGCAGGTGGCATAGAGGTTAAGGCACTGGACCCCACACGGCCAAGCATGCAGTTGAAGTCCCAGACCCAGTGGCTTGAAAATCACACTGGGCATGTGTGCATGCAAGCCTAAAATCCCGAGAGGAGGCTGGAGGAGAGGGGATTGCAGCATGGCCATCCCTTCTTAGAGAGGTAACTTATTGCTTTTCCCCTCTCTCTCTCTCTCTGGTGAGTGCACATGCCCTATAGCAAAAAGAAAGAAAGAAATCCCCAGAGGAGGTGCAGAAGCACTCCATTTCTTCATCCATACCTGTGGCAAGGCCAAGCCCAGACATAAATATAAAGAGTCTTCAAAAAGTTCATAGAAAATATGTGTCATAAAATAAAAACAGATTTCAGGACCAGCAGTTGGCGTAATGGCTGTGTCACTGGACTCCCATGTAGTCGACCACAGTTTGAGGCCCAGACCTGGTGGCTTAAACTAATGCCGGGGGCGTGTGCGTGTGTGGCCCAGATCCCGAGAGGAGAATGGAGGAGAAGGGATTGCGGCATGGCCATCCCCCCTGGGGGGTGATTTCTCGCTTTCTGTCTCTCTGTCTCTCTCTTTCTGGCAAGCACACGTGCCCTATAGCAAAACCTCTCCAAATAAATAAATAAAATAAAAACAGATTTCAAAACTTTTTGACACCCAAATAAACTCATACTTTAATTCTATTTTCAAGAACTTTGACCTCCCGTCATATAGTATTTGTGTCGTATTGGGACCAGCAGTTAGCGTAATGGCTATGTCGCTGGACTCCCACGTCGTCAACCACGGTTCACGTCCCGGACCCGGTGGCTTAAAACTCACGCTGGGCGCATGTGCATGCGTGCCCAAGATCCCGAGAGGAGAATGGAGGAGAAGGGATTGCGGCATGGCCATCCCCCCTGGGGGGTGATTTCTCGCTTTCTGTCGCGCTGTCTCTCTCTTTCTGGCAAGCACACGTGCCCTATAGCAAAAACCTCTCCAAAAAAAAAAAAAAAGTATTTGTGTCGTATTTAGACCACGTGCACATTTACAGGTACAAAGCTCTGAGGCCCCTTCCACCCCTGCCTCATCCTCTGTCCTGACCCCAGCATCCTAATTTGAGGGGATGAGCACAGAAATTGAATCCTGGTTGCACACGTCTTCACTGTGTGAGCCTGGGCCCAGTGACAGCCAGTGTCCCAGCCTGCGTGTCTCAGAGGTGAAATAAGCTAATGGTCCCTTTCCGTGACAGTTGGCAGAATTTCACGAGGTGAAGTAAGTGAAGGCCCTGGCATGTGACATGCGGTCGGTCGGCACTGTTTCCTGCTGGGCCGCTCAGAGTCAGCACGACAGAGGCCTGCAGGCCACCTCAGTGCCCCCACAGCCTTTGTGGGGAGCACTCTCTGCTTATGATTCTGTCTCTGGCATAGCCCCTGTCCCTGTCCTCATTCGTGATTCGTTCTGGGACGTGGCTGGAACCCAGCCCCACATCAGTTCTGATTGGGGTGTAGAAGGCTTTCACGTGATATCACGGTGTGGCTGCGTGACGGTCCCTCAGCCTTCCAGGGTCACTCCTAGCTCCCCCGGGTGTCCGAGTAGAGGGGATGGTTAGCCTGGCTCTGGATCAGGAGCCGCTGTCTGTGACCATCGTGTGTCTCTCTCTTACCTTGCAGACAGAGTAACCGAACCGTGCGGGTGACCCAGGAGTTCCTGGAGTACCACGTCAATGACGACTTGACTCAGGGGCAGCTCCTTTCTGATAACTACATGTTCACGCCCAAAGAGGCTGCGGTGCCCGCGTGGAAAGCCGTGGGGATGGAGGTCGTGGTGGGGAAGCTGCAGACTGAGATCCGGCAGTACTTCTACAGGTGCGGCTTGGTCCCGACAGCCAGGTGCACAGCAGGTGCACGCGGGTGGACGAGCGAGCGGAGGGGGGCCTGTGCTTGGCCACGGTTGTTGCTCGGTGAATGTCTGTTGAAGCAAACACTCCAGTCTCTCCACACGCAGGCCGTGGTTGCGTGTGCTGTACCGTGTCGGCCAGCGGCTCGGTTCGGAGCTGGGACGGAGATTCAGTCAGTGACTGTGTACACGAGAGGAGTTCTTGTCCCTCACTGATGGTGCACATGTGAGCTGACTGGGGTCAGGGCACCAGGCTCCTCCCGTTGTATTTTTCAGTGGTGCCATTGTCCACGTGGCCCAAGAAGCTCCCTGCCTGCCCGTTTATCCTGCCTGTCTTCCCTACTTCTAGACAGACAGGAAGGGAGGATCCAGAAGATTCCTGGGCTTCACTGCCTGATCCCCTCTTCTTCTCCAGAAACATGGCAGCCCAGGACTACACCTACGCCATCTTCACCCGGCTCGCTCACGTGCCACGGGGCGGTGATGGGGAGCTGCTCTGCCACCGGATCGAGCAGGAGTACCG